CAAGGTCAGCTGCAAGGTGACCTCCCGCTTTGCTCACAATGTTGTCACCACGAGGGCCGTCAACCGCGCAGATGCCGCCAAGGAGGTTTCCTTTGACGTGGAGCTGCCCAAGACCGCTTTCATCACCAACTTCACCCTGTGGGTGTCCCCATGGCTGCTGGCTCTGGGCTCTGGCGGGGAGTCTGGCCCAGCATGAGCCCCAACTCTTTCCCTGCAGGACCATCGACGGTGTTACCTACCCTGGTAACGTCAAGGAGAAGGAAGTCGCCAAGAAGCAGTATGAAAAGGCTGTGTCCCAGGGCAAGACAGCTGGTTTGGTCAAGTAAGTACGGACCCCCAGGCCTGGGGGAGAATGTCTGGTCTGTAAGGGATGCAAACCACAACGGCAGCAGTTATTATTATTATTATTATTATTATTATTATCATTATTGCAAAATGTGTCCATAATTCTCACCACATTATCCCATTTTGATGTTGAGGTAAACAAGGCTTAGAGTGCGTAGGTGTCTCCCCCAAGGGGCTGACTTGAACCCAAGGCTCAGGATGGGTGGGGTTGTGCAGTCTGTGGGGCAGTCGCTGTCTTGCATCCCATTCAGGGCCTCTGGGCGGAAGTTGGAGAAATTCATGGTGTCAGTCAATGTGGCTGCGGGCAGCAACGTCACATTTGAGCTAACCTACGAAGAGCTGCTGAAGAGGAACAAGGGCAAGTACGAGATGTATCTTAAGGTCCAGCCCAAACAACTGGTCAAGGACTTTGAGGTAAGCAAACACCTCTGCAGGCCCTGCTGAAACTGTGGGCACAGGATGGGAGGTTGGAGAAGGGCCCCTGGGGTGGAGCTCGGAGCAAAGTCAATGACACAGAAGTCCAGGCCTCACCACTTGGTTGAGGAAGCTCGGGGGAATTCCAATGGCTCTGTCCACAGCAACTGGGCCAAGGGGAGGAGGAGGCTGGGCTGGACTCACCCAGATCTTTGGATGCTGGGCCCTTGGGGCAACATCACAAAGTGTCTCTGTATAGTTGGTATCTGGTTATAATGGTGCTCTACCTACATCAGATCTGAAATGGTTTCATGGTGGAAATTGGACACCACCTGGCAGGCCATTGGAGAGCTTTGGGGTTAGAGTACCATTGACAGGCCCTTTTGTTCATTTTCTTGGTGGGAGACACCAGGTGTGGCTGTCACAGAGTTGTCCTAGAAGCTGGTGCCTGCATCACCACTGACCCATCGCTGTGGGCCCTGTCCTAGAGGTTGGCCTCTGTACAGTCACTGAGTAACATCTCCTTATCTTTGGACATTGCAGATCGAGGTAGACATCTTTGAGCCCCAGGGCATTAGCATGCTGGATGCTCAGGCCTCATTCATCACCAATGACCTCCTGGGAAACGCCCTCAGCAAGTCCTTCTCAGGGAAAAAGGTGGTATCGATGCCTCTCAGGCCTGGGGGGTAGGGGCAGGAACCCAGACCCTAGCAGGACCAGTCTGAGCCCTAGAGCTTGGTTGCTGCTCGTGAGCGTGTGTCTATCTGCTGCCATCACTGTCTCCCTGGCCACCTGGTCAGGAGTGGGGATGCTGGAGGCAGGGGGCTGCTTGCTGAGGATGACCCGCCTGAGGAACTGACATGCCCCAGCAGCCCTTCCCCAACCCCTCATCCTGTCCCCCAGTTTCAGCAGGGCCAGTAGGGGCGCTTGATTACCTCAAAGTGCTTGGCCAGTAGCTTGGGCTGGAACTGGTATGTGTGGGGGGACCACTTATGAAGCCCAGTGTCATTCTACCTTGGGAGGTAGGCAGGTCAGGTGACTGCCCCTGTTTTACAGATAAGGAGACTGAGGCCAGAGGGAGTCATTTAGATCTGCTGACTCCACATTGAGGGGGTGGAAGTTGAAAGGGAACTTTACTCTTGGTGCTAGTGGTTGACTGATCCCCAAGGCCCTACTATTCCAGGGTCTTGCTGACCATGGGCTGTGGATGCATGTTTACCCGAAGAGCAAACATAAGTCACTCAGGACTTGTAGGGCGAGGCCCAAGGAGCACACACTCAGAGGGCTGCTGGCTTCTGCAGGGCAGGGCCCGCTCCCACCTCCCTGCGTTGCTTCCTTTCCCCTCCTCCTCCCCTTGGCACCAACACATACCACCCAACTAGAAGCTCCTTTTCACGGTGCACAGCTCCCCTCCCTAAGTGGCTTCTCAGTGCTGAAGGCCAAGTAGGCTGAACACAGGGACCTAGCTGAACAGAGAAAGACAAAGGCTGCATCAGATAAAGCCACTGTCCTCCAACTTGCCCCTGATCTCCAAGGACAGAGCAGTGCTCAGGAAGTCCAGTGTATGCTGGGTGGTGGAGGGCTGTCGGGTGCCCACCTCTGGGCTTCTCCCTAACAGGGCTGTGCCTCGGCCCCGAAGGCACCCATGGGCTGAGGGCAGCAGTGGGCAGTGCCTGGACAAGCTGAGCAAGACCCCCCATGTCCCTCCCTCAGGGCCATGTGTCCTTCAAACCCAGCTTGGACCAACAGCGTTCATGCCCAACCTGTGGAGACACCCTCCTCAACGGAGACTTCATCATAACCTACGATGTGAACAGAGAGTCTCCAGCCAACGTACAGGTACCTCCCTACTGGCTTCATCAGGCTGGTGGATTCCGCATCACAGTGGAGCGAGGGCTGAGGGGTTGGGGGAGAGGGGCCGCAGCTGCATCTAGCGCCATCACCCTGGATACTCGGTCCAAGGACACGTTTCCTGCAGGGCATGGGGGTGGCAGGCAGACCAGAACGTGTGTGGCACACTCAGGAGGATGGGAACTGACATCATCTTCTCACCATGCTAACTGTCAGCTTTTATTTGCAAGATTAGCCAGGTTGCTTCATGGACATGACCTCTCATCTCTCTCTCCCCTCTCCAGATAGTCAATGGCTACTTCGTGCACTTCTTTGCACCTGAAGGCCTTCCTGTGGTGCCTAAGAATGTGGTCTTCGTGATTGATATCAGCGGCTCCATGTCTGGCCGGAAAATAGAGCAGGTACTATCTTCTGTGCAAGTGGGGGTGAGAGGTGGGGGGTAGATATTTTTTAAAAATCCTCACCCAAGCATATGCTTATAGATTTATAGAGAGAGGGGAAGGCAGGGGGAGAGAAACATTGATGTGAGAGAGAAACGAATCGGTAGCCTCCTGTAGGTGCACCAACTGGGGATTGAGCCTGCAACCTAGGTATTTGCCCTGACCAGCAATCAAACCTACAGCCTCTTTGGGGTATAGGACAACACTGCAACTAACTGAGCCACCCAGGCTGGGCGGCAGTTTTGTTTTAAGTGGACAAAGTTGATGTTTCCAGTGAAAGAGGAGGAAGGAGAATAGGATAAGAAATGCAGAAATGGCCACCCCCATTGTTGCAGGCCACAGGGGCCCCACTGCCAGCCCAGCTGCAAAGAAACCACGCTGTCTGTGGCTGCCTCTCCCAGCTTCTTGTCTGCCTGTCTTTCTCTTTCCCAGACAAGGGATGCCCTCCTCAAAATCCTGGAGGATATAAAAGAGGGGGACTACCTGAATTTCATTCTGTTCGGTTCCGATGTGATCACGTGGAAAGACACTTTAGTTCAAGCCACTCCTGAGAACATCCAGGAGGCCAGGGAGTTTGTGAAGAACATGAGAATTCAAGGAAGTAAGAACAGAGGGGAGAGCAACGTTCTCACTGCCCCTCCCTCTGCCTGAGCAGCCTGTTTCCCTCCTCCCTGGGGCACAGGCTTTGCTGGCCAGGCCGGCAGACCCTGGCTGGGGGTAGAGGCGGGAGTGTGGTGGGGTCCTTAGGCTTGATCTCAGGGTCTAAGAAAACCCACTGTCTGTTTCTAACCCATGATGCGGGTGCACCCCAACTCCCAGCAAGATCAGGCCACAGAGAAACCTCACTGTTGGTCATTCCTTACAGAAAATCACAAGTGAGGTCTGTACTGCTCCCCTGTCCTCCCAGTGAAGGGCCGGGAGTCCATCTGACTGATTCCCAAATTGTTTTTACCATCACTGTGTGCTTCTATTCCTACAGCAACCCTGAGAGGCAGTTTGACCCCCATTTGAAAGGTTAAGTCATTCATTCTTCACTCACTAGTCAGTGTTTACTGAGTATCACCACGTACTGGCAGACAGAGTCCTTGGGCACATGATCAGGGCCAATGTCCCAACCCCCTCCTCCACGATGGTCCCCTGAGGGCCCCTCCCATGGTGCTCTCTGTGTGACAGTGACCAACATCAACGACGGGCTGCTGACAGGCATCAGCATGCTGAACAAGGCCCGGGAGGAGCACACAGTGCCAGAGAGGAGCACCTCCATCGTCATCATGCTGACCGACGGGCACCCCAATACTGGTGAGGCAGGCGGCCGTGGCTCTAAAACTGATTCCCATTGCCTGGCTGCCGCTCCTGGCTCTGTAGCCCGCTTGCTGTAAGACCTTGGGCAGCTCTCCCCTGGGCTCCTACTGACTGCGAGCCCCTTGAGGGGAGGGACCTGCCTCCCCCTTGCAGGGCTCCCCACCCTCTGGCCTGACAAAGGCTCCTGACAACGACCCCTCCCGCACTGCACGTACAGGAGTCAGATCTCTTCAGACAGAGTGAGTCCAGGCAGTTGTCCGGGTGGTGGCTAGAGTGTGATCACCCCTCTATCCTGCAGGTGAAAGCAGACCCGCTAAAATACAGGAGAACGTGCTGAGTGCCATCAAAGGCAGGTTCCCCTTATATACCCTGGGCTTTGGCAACAATCTGAATTATAACTTTCTGGAAAGCTTGGCCCTGGAGAACGATGGGTTCGCCCGGCGCATTTATGAGGATTCCGATGCCAACTTGCAGCTGCAGGTATGCCTTGTCTTGCACCCCTCCAGGAATGAGGGCTCACTCCTTCCTCAGGGAGCTGTGCCATCGGGTGGTCATTTCAATAATTAGAAAGAACTTCCGCTTAAGTTGAAATCTACCTCTGCTTCTTACCCATCATTAATGGTTCTAGCTTCGTCATCAGACTGCATGGAAGGGGTTTCTCCATAGGCTTGCCAGAGCACATATAGGACATCGCTTAAATATGAATTTCTGAAAAAAAAAGAAGTAATTTTTTAGTGTAAGTCTGCCCTAAAGATTGCACAGGACATGGTATTAGTTGCTGGGGCTGCCAGTGCAAAGTGCTACAAACTGAGGGGCTTACAGCAGAAATGTACTGTCTCACAGTCCTGGAGGCTAGACGTCCAAGATCAAGGTGTCAAGAGGGTTGGTTCCTTGTGAGGGCCCCGAGGGGGGATCTGCCAGGCCTCTCTCCCTGTCTCTTCACATCCTCTCCCCTGTGTGTGTCTGTCCCCTTTCCATACGGACACCAGGCACATTGCATTGGGGTCCATCCCAAAGACCTCATTTTGAATTGGTCACCTCTGTAAAGACCCTGTGTCCAAACAAGGCCACATCTTGAGGGACTGGGGGTAAGGAATTTAACCTACATATTTGGGTATTTGGGGGGCACACAATTCAGCCCATAACAGACATACTTATAACAAAATTAACTTCTTGTTTATCTGACATTCCAACTTAACTGCATGTCCTGTACTTTCATTCGCTAAATCTGGCAACACCAACCCTTCCTGGCACAGGTGCCTGCATCTCTGCCTCCGCTGTGGACCCCTGGGCCTCCATCCCCACCTGCTCCCACCCTACACCATCTCTAGGAAGCCTCTCCTCCTGTCCTTCTCTCCTCCTCCCCTACATTCCAACAAGCATTTCTTGAGTGCTTTCTAGTGCAAGAACACTTGTATTTTTCTGGGTGCGGGGAGGGTGGGGTGGGGTGGGGTTGGGGTAGCAGAGGAGGCTCCCACACACTGAAGGGCACAGCCAGGCCCATGTAGAAGTGGAGGTCAGGTCGGGTCCAGCCCAGCCTGTTGGACGCAACAACCTTCGGAAGCATCAGTGAGAACCCTCCCACTCTCCTTTCCGTGCCCGCCTGCCCTGGTGGCCTGAGATGACCAGGTCCCCTCTCTGGACTCCAGGGCTTCTATGAGGAGGTGGCCAACCCGCTGCTGACCGCAGTGGAGGTGGAGTACCCTGAGAACGCTATCCTGGACCTGACCCGGAACACTTACCAGCACTTCTATGATGGCTCTGAGATCGTGGTGGCTGGGCGCCTGGTGGACGAGGACATGAACAACTTTAAGGCGGATGTAAAGGGCCACGGGGTAAGCTGGGCTGGGCCTGGATATGGGCTGGGGATGGGGGATCAAGCAGTGATGGAGCCTGTGCCTACAGGCTGACAGTCCAGCAGTGGCAGCCCTGAACCGGGCCCACCTGGCTTCAGGCCTCCATTCCTTGTGCTTCTCATCTTCTCCCACCCCTGCCCCAGGCGCTCACTGACCTGACCTTCACGGAGGAGGTGGACTTGAAGGAGATGGAGAAGGCCCTGCAGGAGCAGGACTACATTTTCGGGAGCTACATCGAGCGGCTCTGGGCCTACCTCACCATTGAGCAGCTGCTGGACAAACGGTGACCCAGGACCACCCCTCACAGAGCCGGGCCCCACACTGGGCCCTGGCACTGCCCCAGCCTCTCCCTGTGCCTGCCCCTGGCAGGCTCTGCTCTGCGGGTGCCCAAGAGGAAGATGACCGAGCCACACCCGGGAAGTGCACCCCACGCACATGCCCAGCGGCCTGCCCTCTTTTCTCCCCAGTCCATCAGAATGTTTTCCAGGGCAGAGCCCAGCCTGACATCTGGGGACAGCGATGGAGAGCGATTCCCTCAGTCCCCAGAGGGCAGAGCCGGGGCCCATTGGAGAGGCATGTCAGCCTCCTTTTAGGAGGGACTAGCCGGTGAAGCCCCTGGTGCAGGGCCTGGAGCCTGCTGAGCACTCACCAGGAGTGGCTGTTGCAGTGGCCATTGCAAGCCCCTTATATGTTATAGCTGGGGAGACGGAGGCCCCTCAGAGAGGAAGCACAGCCTGTCCATCTGTCCCAGGGAGCTGGTGAACCAGTATTTTCTGAGCTCTAGCAGGCTCCACCCTGGGCACAGGGGGTCCTGGGCTGCCCCTGGGGCTCCTGGCCTGGTGCTGGGAGTCAATGTAGGGACAATGGGCAGGGAGCTGAGCTCCAGGCTGACCCTCTCACTATGCCCCTCCCTACAGCAAGAACGCCCATGGAAGTGAGAAGGAGAACCTCACAGCCCAGGCCCTGGACCTGTCCCTCAAGTACCACTTTGTGACTCCACTGACCTCCATGGTGGTGACCAAGCCTGAGGACAGTGACAACCAGATGGCTATTGCTGACAAGCCTGGCGAAGGTGGACATGGGGAGTGAAGGCCAGAACTGGGAGGCCTTCCTCTAGGACCAGGGCCTTGGGGGTCCTGAGAGGAGTGGGCCAGGCTGGGGAGACCCAGCCCCACTGAAGAGCAGGCCCAGGGGCACTGAAGGAAAGCTGGCCAAGCGCTGGGCAGCGTGTGTGGAGGGAGTGAAGCCATCGCGTGGACAGTGGGGGTTGGGGGGATCAGGGGCCTCTGAGTCTCTAAAGGGATAGGAGTACAGGAGTGAGGATCCTTCCCAGGGTCACTTCTGGGAGAGGGACTTAGGCTGCAACATGGAAGGACTCAGGTAGATAGGGAGAAGCACTCCCAGGCTTAAGGCTAAGCCCTGAGCACTCGCCTGGGGATGGCCAGAGGAAGAGGCTCTGAGAGCTGGAGGCTGGGACCAGGCTGCTCACCATACCCCAAGAGAGGAGTCCTGAGTATCCCCCACAACTGGCCACACAGGCTGGGGGTGTGGGCATCGGAGGGCATGGGAGGCAAAGAGCTGGTCCAGGCCAGGCCAAGAGCTTCTAGTTCTGGGAGCACAGCTGGCTGCTGGGAGGCCCACAGCCTGGGGCTGGTTGGACAGGCAGCATATTGATCACATTGGCCCAGACCCCAGGAGTCTGTGGCTTCTAACACATTTCTCCCTTTCTTCCCTCACAGGGCCTGAGGAATCAGGTGAGCTTCAGCCAGCAGCTTGGTGGGGTCTCGGGAGGGAGACAAGAGAGAACCCAGGAGGCCTTTCTGAGTTCTCCTGGGCTCAGGTCCCTGCTGTGCTGCCCACTCATGAGCAACTTTGGGCCTGGCTCTGCCCCTCTCTGAGTGCCAGGGCCCTTGTCCGTTGAGTGGAGGTGGCTTCCTCTGCCCAAGGAGGGACAGTCAGTAGGAGAGTATTATGTGGCCTGCAAAAGGAGCATGTCCCACATCAGCATCACACTCGATGAGTCCAGGGGAACCCTCGGAGAAAGGTTCTCATTTTACTGTGAGGAAACTGAGGCACAGAGGTTAGGTCTGTGTGCGCAAGGAATCCGTCCACAGGTGGCTGAGCAAGGGCTTTGGCCCAGACAGCCTGGTTGCAGTGCCTGAGCTGCAATTCACAGCATCCTGTGTTTCTCTCATCATAAAATTGGAGCCTCACCCCTCAAAAGCCCATCAATACCAGGCAAAGCTACCCCAGCCCCTGCCTGCCTCACCTCCATCAATACAGGTTGTTCTATCCAGCTTTCCCCTTAGAACACCCCTGCACATCACTGGTGTGTATGTGCATATGGTGTGTGTGTGTGTGTGTGTGTGAGTGTGTGTGTGTGTTACTACCAAGGACAGCTGTAAGCCTCATCGCACCCCAACAATGAATGGGGCAGGAGTTCAAGAGTGGCGGGCAGGATCTGCTGTGAGCATTACTCATGACAGACAAGTTGACCATCTGATGGCTTGCATTTTAGCGATATGAAAGTGTCATGCCCTTGGCCTTAAAATTCACCATATCTCCGCCAGTCCTAGAAAGAAGTTCCCGGGCATGCCCCCATTTCTATAGCCTAAGCTAAGGCTCACAACCCCACCCTCTGTCTGTCAGTGCTGGGGTTTCACTGTGCACTGTTAGCCCCCAGACAGGCAAAAGGCACAGGTGTTGGGAACAGGGCACCCAAGACCCCCAGCTCACGACTGACCTTTTACTTCTTTTTTCAGTGACCGCCGCCACGGCTTACCACAGTGAGTAAACACTGCAAACACAGTCCCCTGCCCCAGCACAGCCCTGTGCATGCCCCTGAGTCTTCCTAAATCAGCTCTCTGGGTCAGGCAGATGGTTGGGTGCTGAGGAGATTGGGGTGGGTGGGTGTTGAGAGCATTAGGAAGCAGGAAGGGGAGGGGTATGAACCAAACTCTGGGTGGGGTCTGGTGCCTCCCCAGGCCTGCTTGTTTAGTTCAGGCCTCTCTCCCTTTGTGTCCACAGCCAGCTACCAGCCTCCTTCTTCACCCTACTATTATGGTGAGTTCCCCGGGTCCTCCAGGGGCAAGGCTCAGGGCCCAGGGCCCAGTGCCTCCTGCCGGCCTAGGAGTCCATCCCACAGAGGCCAGTGGGTGAGGCCCCAGGATCAGCCCTTTCTCTGATGTGCCCTCAGTGGACGGAGACCCCCACTTCATCATCCAAGTCCGAGGGAAAAAGGATGCCATCTGCTTCAACATTGATGAAGAACCAGGCACAGTGCTGCGCCTCATTCAGGACCCCATTACAGGTGGGGGCTGCAGGGTGGGGCTGGGGCCAAGGGTGTTCCTGGGAAGGCCTGGAGACCCCCAGTGTGGGCACATGGACCAGGTCCTCCATCTGCCCACAATGTGCCCATCTTTATACATGGGATTACATGCTGGAGAGGGCTGTCCAGAACCACAGGCTAGCCAAGTTCCCCAGGGGCCAGTGTGTTGGGGAGATTTTTAGAGTTAAGGGCAGCCTGGCCCTGCAGGCAGGACTCAACCTATGGCTGGGGAATCATTTTTCTCTGAAAAATAATACTTCCTGGCCCAGGCAAAGAGACAGGTCTACACTGTGGGCCCTCAGCCACCAGCATGACCCAGAGTGTCTAGGAGCAGATTGGGTTAACTGGGAAGTTCTGGTCTCTTCTGGGGACCCTCACTCTGATATCTCACAGCAAGTCTGGCTGAGGAGGAAGGCACATCCTTAACGGCCAGCTGATCAGAAGACCTCCCTGGTCTCTTACTGCCCCTTGCCCCTGGCAGGCTTAACAGTAAATGGGCAGATCATTGGTGACAAGGGAAACAGCTCTAACTCTAAGAACAGAAAGACTTACCTTGGCAAAGTGGGCATTGTCAATGCTCTGATGGACTTGCGGATTGAGGTGACCACAGAGAAGATTACCCTGAAGAATGGGGCTGCACAGAGTACTTTCAGCTGGCTGGACACAGTCACGGTCACCTCGGAAAGGTAAGGCCCTATACCGGGACTCGATCGAAGGAGGCTTGAAGGATTTGTAGAAATCTGAGGACAGAAGATCCATACGGGTTACAGTGAAGACTGGTGGCCTCAGAGTTCAGCCCCTGCCCCGGGGGAGGGTGACCATGGTAGACCTGAGCCAACCCCTAGGGCCCCTGTGAGAACCAGAATTGGTAGCTGGACAGTTCATAGGGCTGACCTTGAGGGAAGGGCTACATGGACCCAAGGATCAGGTAGGCGTGGCAATCTGGTAACAACAAGAATCCTATTTGCATCTTCTCTGGCTGAATTCATTAGTTCCCAAGCCGCTCAGCCTCTCCTATGAGTTTAGATTACCCAGAGCCTGAGAGGCAGGGCAGGAGTGTTACTCCCACTGAGGCTCAGAGACAGGGTAGCACCTGCCCAGGAAGCTAGTGGCTGAGCTGGGACTAGATCCCAGGCCTCCAGATGCCGAGGACAGCCCCTTTCCTGCTTAAGGAGGAGCAAGAATGCATTCAGGGGAGGTATAGTCGGCACGCATGACATGTCTTTCCTCCAACACCCCTGAGATAGTTTCTGGAGTTGTGTGTTCTCAGGTGCCATGCACAGGGAGAGCTCTGCCAAGATGTCCTTGATTCAGATGCCTGGTGTCATGGCCACTTGCCCCTTGCTGTCCTCCTCTCCTCCCCTAGGTTCTCCGTGAAGACCAACAGGGAGGCTATGGTGGTCTCCTTTGGAAAAGGGATTACCTTTAAGGTGGTTCTGCACCAGGTGTGGAAGGAACATCACATCCACCTTCACTTTCTGGGCTTCTACGTGCTGGACAGTGACAAGATGTCAACAAAGTCACACGGGCTGCTGGGTATGGAATGTTCATGCTTCAGGCTGTTCAGGGCAGAGGAAAAAGCCACGTGAAAGGCCATCCTAGCCTCTCCATGGCCGGCACACAGCACCCCCCTCAGCCTTTGCCTTAACCCTGGAAGGCCAGTGGCCATGCTACCTGGGGCGATGGCAGGGGCTGACAGAGAAAATGTTTTTCTTCCCAGGACAATTCTTCCGCCCCCTTGCTTTTCAAGTGTCTGACGTCAACCCAGGCAATGACCCCTCCAAGATACATGCCACAATGCTGGTGAAGAAACATCGGCTGGCAGTCACCAGGTGCGGGGACCCATCTGACATCCTCACCCTGCCCACTAACAAGCCAGGAGGAAAGAGCCCTCTGTGCCCACACACATTGGTCCAGCAGGGTGGTCTTCTTAGTTTTCCCTCATTTCCCTCTGGGGTCTTGGCCCCCTCGAGGCCCCTCCGAATCAGGGAAAGGCCAAACTCAGCCCCCTAGAAGGACTAACCATGCAACCTCATTCTTGGCCAGAGAATTATGGAATTGGCAACATCACACCCTTTTTCAACCTTGGTCCATGAGCGTAGCAGCCATCTCGCCTACCCTGTGTATCACAGCATCTGTCTCCCTTCTCCAGGGGCTACCAGAAAGACTACAGGAAGGATGTCCATAATGGCACACAGGTGGGCTGCTGGTTCGTCCACAACAATGGCCAAGGGGTGATTGATGGGGTCCACAGCGACTACATCGTCTCTGACCTGTTCTGAGTGGCTGGCCCAGCTGGCCTGGCATCTGGAGCAGGGGCACAGAGCCAGGCCTGAGGGAGGGCTGTGACAATAGAGGACACGGTGGAAACCAGACCGCTGCCAGCCTGTGCATGCCTCTCTCGGGCCCTTCTCTGGGGAACACCATCCGGGACCTGAGGCAGCTCAAAGGAAGGACTGGCTCCTAGGAAAGCAACATCCTGGGCCTCCCCAGCAATGTGGCTGAAGGAAAGGGCTTGTTGGCGTCACAGTTTGGCAAGTCAAATTTATGAGGAAAAAAATAAATAAAAAATTGACTCTGGAGCAAAGAGTCTCTGATAAGCTGGGAAGGGCTGAGTGCATTTCAGAGGCCAAAAGGGTCATGAGGAAAGTCTGGTCCTTGCTCAGGAGCTCCTGTCGGGCCCTTCAGCCCTGGAGCTGTAGTGGATGGTAGATGCCATCCATCCACTCAATTACCCACTATCCACCCATCCATCCATCCGTCCATCCATCCATCCATCCATCTATCCATTCATCCATCCATCCATCCACCCACCCACTCACTCACTCACCCACTGTTCATCCATCCATCCACTACCCATTTGTTCATCAGATAAACCCAACATTCTGGGCTAGCATCTGGGGCACAAAGCTTATTGATCCAGTTCCTGTGAGCAGGGGTGCCTCAAGTTTGCTTTCAGCTGGGCTGGGGATCCTTGGAATCCTCCAATCATACCCCACAAAGTCCTGAGTGGGGTGGGGGTCAGACCAGTTCCTGGACTAGGGGCTCTGAGAGCCTCTCCCACCTGAATAACTATAACTGCCCCTTCCTGGATCTCCCTGCTTCCAGAGAGAGCTTTCCACAGCAGAACCAATCATCTCCCTGCCCACACCCTATCAATGACATCTCCTTCCCATTGCTCTTGGGACAAAGATAAAAGTCCTTCCTATGGCTTCTCAGCTTCATCAACTCCATGAACCAGGCATTTCCCCTTACTTTCTGGGTTCCAGACACACACACTGCTTCCAGTTCTGCAAACATAACGCCTCCTGCCCCAGATTCTTTGCCTCTGCTGCTCTCTCTGCCTGCAGGGCTAAGAGCATGCTGGATAGACGGTACCTCTTTGAAGGGAACAGTGGGCAGCTTTGCTCCATGGCACAGCAAGGGACACAATAAGGCCAGATGAGGCTGGAGTCTGATTGGGATGTTCAGAAATGCCAGTGGGGGTGGGGATGGGATCTGGTCATGGGCCAAAAGGAGGTTTTCCTACCTCCCACTCCAGGGGCCCCTCTGGATTTCCTAGGGACACCAGACTGGGGTCCTGGAGAGGGTATGGGGGGCAGTCCAGGAGGAAACTTTTATCATCAGAGGAGTCCCCCTGCCCCCAGGCATCTATGAGATGTGGCCTGGCGCTGCTGCTCCTCTAGGGAGAGGGCCACGTGAGACACAGCTCCAGAGTAAACATGGCAGGTGTGCAGGCTGGGCTGGCAAAAAGGGCGCAGCCTGGGAAAGGATATCCTCAAGTAGGCAAGCCCTGCCACCCATTCAGTTCCAGGTGGGCTGAGGAGCCATGTAGCTTTAAACCAGTCATACCGAGGTCAGTTTTCACATCTGTGAAATGGGGAGAAAGATCCTGCCAGATGGAGGGTGTGAAGTGGCATCGTCATATGGTTTCTGGTCCTCCTGAAGTACCTGGTTTGTCCTGCCACTCAGCTAGCCGCCTAGCCTGGCAGGTTGGCAGCAAGGCAGAGGAGGCCCCAGCCCAAATCTGCCCCTTCCCCTCCCTCAACACAGTCAGGGAGGCCCTCCTTGCAGGCCAATTCCAGGCAGATTCTGTCCTCAACCCAGTCCTCTGATGGCTCCCTGGCTTTCAGGATAGAAACCATGCCCCATGGCAAGGTGCACCAGCCAGTGCTGGCCTGGCCCTGCTTCTCCACCTCTCCAACTGGCTCCTCACCCCATGCTTCCCTTCCCCTACCCTGAACTCACTGCACAATGACCCTGAACTCAATGCACAATGTCCTGGCTCTCGGCCCAGTGTCCTTGTCCTCCTTTTCTACTGGGCTGACTTCTCTTTATTGGTCAAGACTCAGCCCCAGCCACGCCACTTTCCAGGAAGGTTCCCGATATTCCCCAGGTGGAACAAGGTGACTCCCTCTGGGATCCTGGCAGCACCTGGTGGTTCCTGGGTAGCAGCTGTCACACAGGCACTGTCTGTCGTGGTGGCTACAGCACTCTGCCCAGGGCCTGGCTTAAGGAGGTGCTGGAACGCACTCAGTGAACAAAACAATGAAGGGCATGGACCTATTGCCAATTGTTCACAGAAGGCACCTGCCCTGCTGCTGGGCCAGAGAGTCACCCAGGACTCCTCTGCTGTTATACAAACCCCACAGCCCAGCGCAGGCGGTGGTGTCCCAGAGGGGTGAGCTGGGCGTGGGCCCCGTCTCTCATCTTGGTAGGTGTGTCAGAGCTGGCCTCACAGGAAGGTCGAGGGAGACCCCAAGGCGGCTTCCCTGTCTCACAGCAACAGCCTGAGACCCTGCCAGCCAACCAGGCAGGTGGAGAGGCAGATGGAGTGTGTCTGTGCGTTCGGCAAACCTGCTGCTGGAGCCCCGCTACGGGCCTCTCCTCTGACCCCTCCAGAAAGACTCACTCAGTAAACACCCTGTAGAGCTCAAGAGCTGGGAAAAGAGCTTTTCCCTGCTGACCTGGTTTGCTTCCTCTTAACCAGCAAATGAGCTTATTTTCTGCTTTCCTCTGGCTGTGGGGAAGCTCAGAGCAAAGTTCTGTGCTGCAGCTTCTCCACGAGGGAGTCACAGATCCAACGCTCCTCCTGCTTGGCTCTTCTCTTATTCCCATGGGTTTTGTTTAAAAAATATATTTTTTAAATCCTCACCAAAGGACATGTTTTATTTATTTATTTATTTATTTATTTATTTATTCCTTTGTTCAGGTATTTATTTATTTTTAGACAGAGAGGAAAGGAGAGAGAAAGAGAAATATCGATGTAAGAGAGAAACATCAATGGATTACCTCCTGCATGCGCTCCAACTGGGGATCAAAGCCACAACCCAGGTATGTGCTCTGACCTGGGATCGAACCTGCAACCTTTGGGTGTACAGGGTGATGCTGCAACCAACTGAGCCACCTGGGCTATAACTGTTTTTTAAGTGCGCTCTGACTGTGCAGGAATTGGGTGGAATCTTGGGGGTGACTATCCCTGGGGCATGGATTGGAGAGGATTTAGAGCTGGGGGCTGGGTCACCTCCATGGGACAGAGGCTTCCCTCCTGGGATGAGGGCCTCTCTCTGTCTCCTGTGCTCCAGGGCTAGCTCCTTTCCAGGTGGTGAGCACAGGTGTGAAAATCAAATCGCATCACAAAGTCACATGCGAAAGGCGCCCCAAAGCTCACTGAGAACTTCTACCCAGTTCACTATTTTTAATGGAGGTAGGAAGAGTCAAAACTGGTTTTCATGGTCCTAGGTGGTTTGGCTCAGTGGATAGAGTATTGACCTGAGAACTAAAGGTCCTGGCTTCAGTTTCAGTTCCAGTCAAGGGTATGTACCTCGGTTGTAGGCTTGATCCCTGGCCCCAGTAAGGGGGACTCCTCTGATGGCTCCCCTTCCCCCACACTCTCTCTTAATATCAATGGAAAAATATCCTTGGGTGAGGATTAACAAATAAAATAATAAAATGAAATAAAATAAATAATAATTGGTTTTCATGGACTGAAACTGAACCTCTACTCTCAGAGGGTGTTTTCTGGCCCTGGGCCCCAAGCTCGGGTCTGGAGTGACATATACAGGGGTGGTTCAATCTTTCTAAATCTTAGTTTCCACCTTATGAAATGAAGGGAGTGGACCAATAGCTCCTCAGGGACCTACTGGCCACATGCCCTGAGGGCTGATTGTGGGAGATTCTAATGTCACATGATGCTAAGTGTTCAGGAAGAGGCTCTACAGCCCTGGGGTTTGGCTGGATGGAACCAGAGAAGCCCACTCCCTGAGTTTAAACTACCTGCCTTTATTTGTAATAGGTGGAACTCCCCTCCCCATCATGGTTGAGACCCCACAGGTGGCTGTGGTCACAGGATGACAGCCCTCTGCACACAGTGGGGTGGCATGGGGTGGGCGGGTGGGTATAACTCCTGCCATCAGAATCAGAGCTCGATAGACCAGCAGGAAATCTCTGTTTCCAGGGTCCCCTCTTGGTAATCCAGCTTCATTTTTCTGGGATGGAGAGACAGAGAGACAGACAGACAGACGGGTGGTTAGGAAATCTCAGGTGTGGTGGGAAGAGAGGGAGAGAGCTGGGTCGGGCAAGTGGAAGGTGGAGATTCAGGGCCCCTTAGAATCCCCTACAGCACAGGCTGACAAGGCCCAGTCTCCCAAGGGCACCCAGTTGTCCAGGGCTCTGAGACTTCAGGGAGTTTGCTAATGCCCCCAACTCACCCTTAGTGATCTCTGGCTGGGGTGTTTTCTGTTGGTCTGAGTTGACCATTTTGGTGGGGTCACACTGAGAGCTGGGTCAGACATGTCTAAAGCATCAACTTTTCACCCGACTATCTCTCATTCCCAGGCTCGGACAGGGGAGT